GAACATAAGCTAAAGGAATAGGATGTTCAGTTGAACATAAGCTAAAGGAATAGGATGTTCCATTGAACATAAGCTAAAGGAATAGGATGTTCCATTGAACATAAGCTAAAGGAATAGGATGTTCCATTGAACATAAGCTAAAGGAATAGGATGTTCAGTTGAACATAAGCTAAAAGAATAGGATGTTCAGTTGAACATAAGCTAAAGGAATAGGATGTTCAGTTGAACTATAATGCGTAATGTCTAAAAATGCTCTCATGCTATTTTTTTCATCTTTTTGAAGTTCTAAATTATTTTAGTATCAATAATCTTTTGCTTTCATTCATAACATATATTTGACTAAGTACAGTGAAAATATGTAATGATACTTCAGTGAAATTGGTTTACTCAATCTCCGTTACCTATTTCCCGAATAATCTACGTTTAGGTTGATAGCGTGTCAGTTATATAAAGGTTACATATATTTAGTGAAGTGATTCTGTTAAATTCTAGAGGAATTTCAATTATGTATTCAAATTGGGCAAGAAAGGCCAATACAGTGGTTAACTGTAACTGAAATGTGGACCAGTGTTGGTTTAATCAGATGTGATAATATACATGACCAGTGTTGATTTCATCAGATGTGATAATATACACGACCAGTGTTGGGTTTCATCAAATGCGACTATATATGATCTGTGTTGGGTTTCATCAGATGTGATAATATACAAGACCAGTGTTGGGTTTCATCAGATGTGATAATATACAAGACCAGTGTTGGGTTTCATCAAATGCGACTATATATGATCCTGTGTTGGGTTTCATCAGATGTGTTAATATACATGGACAATGTTGGTTTTTATCAGATGTGAAAATTTACATGGTGAGCGTTGGATTTCATCAGATGTTATGATATGCATGACCAGTTTTAGGTTTCATCACATATGACGATATATCTTACCAATGTTGGGTGTTGTCAGATTTTTCATGGCAAATCATTTCTTCAAGTAAAATCAAACATATTTTTTTATAAGCAAATAAAGAATAAAATGAGCCCCAATAAAAGATTTGTTATCACGTGTTCTTGTGAGCATTCATCATAATTAAAAACCAAGCTTCCATTCTTTACATAAGTAAAGATACCAAGAAGTGTTTAAAAAGAAGCATATAGAGAAAGGGGGGATTTCTATACAAACACCACATTCAAACAGTTATTCCTGTTTCTGAATCAAACTTTCACTAAACTACTGACAAAATAAGTAATGTCTCTTCTGTACAGAACATTATTAGCAGATGTATCTGTGAGAGGTTGATGAAATTTGTGTTCTTTACAAAATATGTTGGTGGCAATATAAAGATTAAACGTACATAAGAATAAAATTATTCATGTCTAACATTTTAGTTTTTTATCAAAAAGCAATAAGTAACATGCGACTTAAAAACAATTCACCTAATACAATTGGTTAAAGAAACTTTCAAGATAGACAATGTATGAAAATAAAATCCCTCAAATTATTGATGGGATTTGAAAATGAAATGCAAATGTTGAATTAATGTTTTACCAGTTATAAATATACAGTTTTTTGTCCTAAATACACCAGTAATGATTGAAAATAAATAGATTGTATGTATATCCCATGTAATGAAGGAGGAAATGGGAGAAATCCCATTAGTACCCCCTAGTGGCCACCCCTACTGACTGATATATATTCAGCCACCACTGGAGCTATGAAATATATGCATTGTAAAAGAAAAATAACTTCTTGACACTTCCAAAATCATTCCTTGTTCATTAAACTATATCAACTGCAAAGGCCTAGGAGGGGTTAGAGGTCAAACAAACTTCTCTCAAATTATAGTAGGATTCATTAGTCTGTAGATCCACCTTCTTGTGTAAGAAAATTCAAACCTAAGTTGAAAGGATAGTCATACACATATCTTTCCTGTGCAACACTTTTATTTTGGACCGATGATTCCATCTTGATGCAGAAGCAATTGAAAGAGTTTACGTTAATAGTCCAGGAGATTTTTAAAGCTTCTTAATAAAAAGTGCGATATATATGTTCCTGGTAGTTATATTGATTTGAACTTAATCATTTCAGAAGAAATAATAATCAGGAGTGCTCAAAGATTAAGCAACCCTAACTTTGCCCCGCACATGGATTAGAGGTATGGATTGAAGTTTTGATAAAAACAAACTATGTAAGTATCATAAACATAAACGGTCCATATTGGACAGATGGTCCACCAGGGCAGTGGAGATCTATAAATCCTATGCCAAAATTTTGATGTGGGGGGAAACGGAAGTACCCTGAGAAAACCCACTTTCACTGGTAATGAGCCAATCCATTATCAGTGCATGGTTAGCGAGAAGAAATAAGTTGGAGAGATAAAGTGAAGTCTGGTTCTGGGGGTTAATTAATGTTTAGAGGAGTTTTGGATTCTTCTGATATTTACTAGGACTTTACTTGAGTTCGGATTCAAGTTCCAGTATGCTTGTGATGGCATGAAATCCTCAGTGTCATTGGTAAGTTGGCGGAGAGAAGAAAAGGTATGTCATGGTCTGGTAGGTGGTGGTTGTCATTTGGATGTTGTGAAACATGGGCTTGGTAAGGGTAGGGGGTGGGTGTGGCTTCCAGTATGGTTTCTCTGCTTTGAAGTGGTAGAATTTGAGAGAGCAGCCGTGAGAGAGGATGAAGTCTGTTGTTAGTTTAGAAGTCATAACTTTCATGAAATGAGAGGGTGAACCTGTTTTCTTGGATGTGATTCGGTGGACTATGTGGATCGTTGAGTTGGTTGAAGTTTCGAGGGCTCGATGGATTTCTTTTATGGTAAAGGATACGTGAACATTTCTTAGAAATACTGTGTGGAGACTGGCGTTGCTTTTTGGGGGTCGGCACGTGATGGGTGGGTTTGAAGACTAAGGGTGGCAGAGGTAACAGAGATCTTCAGGTGTCCTGGGCTGGAAGAGTATACATGCCTTGCGGAGACAATGAGTGTGCTCAGGGAATACACGGGCTTGAGGCTTATATCTTCGGATGAAGTTGGCAGTAGTCCGATAATTACCAGCAGTGTTGGGTAGGGGATAGTCTGCTTACTGGCAGGAAGCATGGTAAAAATCATACGACAGATATCAAAATGCACCTTATCGGCTTGGCTGTTAGACTAAGAATGGCCGCAATATATATGACATGTAGATTAAATTCATATTGTGTTGTATACATACCTGAATTTTTATACTGAAACAATTTAACAGTTCAATATGATCAAATCTTGATATTACATAACTTCAAGATACCTAGGATAAATCGTGTGGGACCTTTGAACGACTATCATGTAATACTCATCATAATTTTTAGTTTTTTATCTTGGATCTTGTATTTGAATATGCAATGTATGGTTTTAAGTATAAAAAGCATGAAAAATAAAGTTATGATGTCCGTGATACGTAATTTAAAATTATTAGTTTCTATAAATCTCCGATCTCATTAAATTCATATATATATTTATTGAGAGACCATAGAGGTAGTTTTGATCATATCAAAAGAGAATAATTAACTTATCTTACCTCTCCTTTAAATAGAAGTTTAATACAAAATATGATATGAAAATAAAAGGCCTAATAGTTTGGTGTGTGGTTATCCCTGCACAAATAAAATGTCAACGTTTTAAATGTTAATGTTTTATGTAAATCTTGAACACTAAGACAAAGAAAGTTCTGAGTTGTAACGGGTATAAAACCTTTTCTGCACAATATATTCAGCATGGTAATAAAAAGTTGTGTATTTCCTGAGGAGTGGGCAACAAGTCAAACACTCCAGCAGAATGGTAAATAAAACTAAGCGAAGAAACATTAACAGTTATAAGAAAAGATAGTTACAAAAAATGTTCCTTCTCTTAATTTTTCTAAAACATATCTGGGAATTTTGTAGTGGTATAGTGCACTGTATGATATTACAAATAAATATAAAACATGGCTTGTATATAACCCCATGTTTAATGATAATTATTAGTCACATATTTTATGTTTATAAGTAATCTAACTTAAGTGTATTTATTTTAAACTCATGTATTGTAACAACTTTTACTTATTAAGGTCACTATATTTATTAATATAATAAAAATATTTCAACCATTAAAATAGTCTTGTTACTGATGGAAATGGACTACAACGATGGATGTTGTTACATTTTGTCTAAAACCATCTTCAAACTCGCTAACGAAATCTTTGATTTTTTCATGTGACATTATTATGATTTACAGATTAGTCAGTAAGCTATTTTCTTTTCTAAACATTACTAGCCAGAAACATCCTCTCTGGCAAAGCATATACTTTAAACGAGAGGAAATTGTTTGTTCAGTTAGACTTTTGTGTTTTTCTGATAGGAAAATAAAACCAAATGCTCTAGGGTAAACCTTATGCCAGAAGGAAAAAAATGGTTAGTTTCTGGTTTATCCAAGTGCCACTACTACTACTACTAGTACTTCTAAAGTGAGAATCTGTTTTCTTTGTATGCTTCCTCAAAAGCTTTATAACAGGGAAGGCCTACGATTATCTTCCAAAACAAAAAACTGTACCCCTGAGTAAAAAACTTCTTACACCTGTGAATGCTTTGATTCTCTGCATGAGAGGGCTCTGAAAATTATTTTTAATTTCTTAGAATATCTGATTCTTAAAATACCCACTATTAAGGGAGAAAACTAACGTGTAAAACTATGTTAAACAATTCATTGTTACAGTAACCATAAAATATCAGCAAAACTCATTATCATATTGATTCACAACATTGTTGGAAGCTTCACAATTGGCTACAATGTTTTCTTTTACAAATCAATATTATATTTGATTAATTTTTTTTCATAGGTTGAAAATTATGTATATAAACAACTAACGAAAGTTTACCATGATTATTTAGTTTTTCCCAAGTATTCTTGCTACATTTTAAATGGAACTGAGTAGAAAAAGTATTACAATAGAAACCCAGTGATGTTATTGAACTTGTATTTATGTGATAACTACGCTTAAATATGTGTACACAATTCTATAGATATATATAATTATTCAGTTGGTGTTCCTAAATAAATAGAATACCCATACATTATACATGCGTTTAGACAAACTGTAGTCGTGTTACATAGATATTCAGTTTTACATTTGTAACTATATCTTTCGTCTTGTGCTATAACCTTGACATCTGACCTTAGTTAACTCTAACCAGTTTCCTACATTAAATGAGTGCACATGTACTTATCTGTACGATTACTAAGATTTGAAATAACACCGATGTATACCAGCTAAACATGAGCAACTTGAAGGATGTTAAAAGTTGTAAAAACCACAAGTTCGCACCAAACCAATATTTTGAAAACATGGAAGTTTGATAAGCATAAAAATCTAATGAAATAAACTCAAAATGGGAATTTTATTTTTTCATGTGGTACAGGTTTTGGTGGACCATATTTCATCTGCAACAGAGCTTGAGGAACCCTAAGTTTTTTTGCACCTAGAAAATAAACAAACTTGTAACACGTCTCTCCTTTTAAGACAATACCATTTTGGTAAACATGACGAAATGTCTCCATTGCTCCAAAAAGATCATCGGTTGCACCTGTGAATGGATCAGCAACAGTAAATATTACAACCGATTTGATATTAAAGAAACATCTTGGAAAATAACAAACTTATTTTGAATATAGAGCATGATATGAACTTCTATTTGTTTGGTTCTGATATACAGTCCGTTATTCAAGTGTTTCAAAAACAGATTTCTTGGAAATATAACATCCTTTAACCTAAACTGTATCAGCAAAGGTGTACTTAAATTAAGACACAGTCACGTTTTAGGTTTATGCACAATTCATCCACTAAACTGAAATGCTACGAAAAGAGTTTTGTCGAATTTTAAATTTACCAACTTACAAAATATTTTTTTTTGGGTATTGGTTCCATTAATAACAATATTATGTGAGTGTATAGACAAAAATTCAAGCATTAATCAAGAAACAAAATACCAGCACACTGAGAAATATTGGTTTCAGGGTAACTTAACTGAGTATAACATATCTAATAAAAGGTTAGGAGGACGAAATGCCATTTGATTATCAATGCGTGAGGTCCACCTTTTATCCAAAACAAAACAAATCCTGATATCAGAAAAACTTAAATACAGCCCTTCATATTCCTATCCAACAAAACTTTAGAATAATTCATTTTAACAGTAATAACCACATAATTAAGTAAATCGTTTCGTAAGTTTACTATTCTGACTCTAGGTTTCCAAAGGTGAAATCTAATGCTAATGTCATGTTAAAACTGAATTAAAAGATTCGGGTCAGATCGGAGGAAAGAATTTTAAAGGAGATATTTTGGATGTAGAAATTGTGTTACAATATATAGAAATATTTCATATCGATAACAGCTGAAACGAATTTAATGTGTAGTTGGCAAGGTTATTGTGATAATGAAAGCTCAAAGGCCTTGTAATAATGTATCAGTTTTGGAAGAAATTTTTTCAGACTCGCACAACTGGCCTTGATCTCATGCTTAAGCATTAAAGTTCACCCGAAGAAACTGAAATTTTCTCATGTAACAAAATTCAAATGTTCTTTCTCTAATGGTGAAATACTTAAACCTAAATCTATGGTGAACAAGTCTAATTAGGAACCTATTCCATTCCAGGATTAATGTATAAATTATGGAGTACTTTGTCTGTTTGTAAGATTTGTTAGACATATATATACATGGTAACACTAGGACACATTAAATTTTGGGTCTGATGATTCAGTTCATTGACTTATTAAGGGGAAAGATGAACCTGATTGGTCAAAAGAATTTTTTTTGCACCTTTACTTTTCAAACATTCATGTTCCTACTTCGTAGCTCAAACTGCTGTACAAATCAAATAAACAGATAATTTTTTCAATATGATAAAAACTGCAAGCCCATGTAGTTTTAATATAAATTTTTGACAATGAATAACAATATCATTCTGTAAATTTATCAGATATTTAAGATGTAAAGTTAATTATAAAGTTTAAAGATTTCTATCAAATAATAGACTAGGATTACACTAATGTTTTTGACTTTAATATGAAATAAACAGTGTTGTTTAGGGTTTCATAGGATATAAGATACTCCATGATTTTTGTTAACTGCCCCATATTCCAAAAAAAGGGGAAGAGAGTTCCTTTGGGTGGGGGTGCCATATAATTGTAG